GCCTGCTCCTTGGATTGGCGCTGCTTCTCGGCTTTCTCGGCCTTGGCCTTCTCTTCGGCCTCCTTCTTCTGACGGAGCGCTAGTTGGCGACGCTCCTCAACTTGTCTCTCTCTGGCGGCAGTATCGATGGGCCGAGCACCACCAAATGGGCTAGCCTTCGAGTCAGTGCTGGCAGCGGGGCTGGACGGAGTGTCGGCGACAGTCCGCTTCTGGAGGTTCAACTTAGGGCGAGAGGCTGGAGCGGCGGGGGCAGCAGGGGCGGCGGGGGCGGCGGCAGGAGAGGGAGGGTTACTGGGTTCCTTGGCAGGAAGCTGATCGGGGCGCATTCTGGCTCTCCATGAGTTATCGAGTTCGGCGGCAGTGGGTGCGCGCTCCTGGAATTCGCGGCGCGGGGGTCTCGAGCCATCCTGAGAGCGTCCCTCACCCCAAGCGGGCGAGCTTCTTCTGACGGGGCCTTCGTTGCTGCGAGGACGGCCACCTTCTCTGACTGGCCCAGTCACCGGCGAAAGAGGACCCTTGCGCTCCCAGTTGCCGAAATCGCGCACCTTTCCATCCGACTCGAAGTTGCGACGACCACCGGCACGTTCGCTGCCGGCATCGGAGAGGTTGTCGAGGTTCCGTCCGAAAGTCGAGCGGTCGGGCACACGACGGGAAGATTGCTCGGGCGCGGGCAAGGGGCCCTTGCGAGTCCAGTCAAGCTCCTTAACATCTCGCTCCTTGGCTGTTGAGGGCAGTCAGATTTTTTGCGCACAAAATGCGTCGAACATGCGAGAAGATACTTACGGGGCTCAGCGATGCTGACACGAATCGCTCTTCCCTGAAGCGTGGTACCTGAGAGGTCAAGGGCCTTCTTCAAGCCGTCGACAGTCTCAAATTCAACATAGCCGAAGCCCTTGGGGCTTCTTGTCAACTTATCTTCAACGATACGGACGTTCGTCACACTACATCCAGCAAACAGGTCGTTGATATCGGCCGAGGTCGCCTCAAAAGAAAGGTTTCCAACGTGAGCGGTGTAAGGGGGTTGAGTAGGAAGTGGGAGAGGCTCTCTGATCGCATATCCACCACGTTCGCGGTCTGTGTCACTCTAGGGTCAGACTGCATTCTTAACCGATTGAAGCCGGGAGCCATACCATTAAAGCCATTGCCGAATCCAGCGGAAAAAGGGCCAGCGCCGCGGCGGTCACCTCCGTAGCCGAGCTGGGAAGGAGGAGCTATTGCATCTTTAGCCTTGTCATCCTTATCGCAGGTGGAAGAGACTATCGACGAAAAAGTATCACGATAGAGCGCCTAGTACATACCGGCTGCAAAGTCCTCAAATCAGCAAAAACCATCATTTTTCAAGTGTGTTTCATCGACGACAATTGCAACTTACCAGACAAAGGCATATCCTCCATCTCGTCGGCCCAGGAGCCAAGGCCTGTTTCTTTTAGCACAATCCATCCCCGCGGGGAATTTGTGTGGGAACCTACTTTCATCGGCCAGGAAGGTGCCGATAGACATCTTCTGGGCTTTCTGCTTCGCGGGCGCTTCATCGGACACCGTCAGTACTCACTCATCATATCCAAGGCATCTGATCTGGAGACTCATGGGATGCACTGAAGGAGGGGTTCGGGGTGGAACATACCCATGATTGCGGTTGTCGAAATTCAGGAAACGCGCCAAGGACTTGTGCGCGTCTCAGCAAGATGTTAAATGGGCCTAAATAGGGATATAAGAAGTCTTCCAGACAGGAAGATCAAAATGATTTCAAGAAATGACGTCTAGTTGTTTGAACAAGTAGACGTGTGATGAATTATTGCAGGTGACCTCCGCAGTTGAAAGGACAGAGGGGGGGGAAAGTAGGTTAATCCGTGAGGATAATTTTTAGTATGACGCTAGAAAAGTCAGCCTCAGGGAAAAAAAAGTGGTGGTGCGGCTTTCGGCCTCGACCCAACCCCAGGGCTTTGTCACATCGGTGCTTGGTGTGGCATCAAGACATCCTGGAGAGGCAAGATGCACATTCTTTTCAGATAATAAAGCAATTAATTGTCCAGCTATTACTTGATAATCACTACTATATATCATACTTCTAACTTTCTTTCAAGATTGATCGGCTCAATGCAAGCCATCTTGAACCAATCCAGTAATACGGAGTACGAAGAGGGAAGCTTGTGCCCTTAGCCCCTGCAGGCATACACATATCCAACAGGATTCTGAGACCCAGTATAGGCCTGTATCTCAATAGAGTGCAAAGTTGAGTGAGACTAACGAGGACACGAAGCGACCGTTACAGGTATAACCATTTTGCACTCATATAATCATATTACACCAGGTGTTCCTGGCTGGGTCGGGTATCTGGAGGGGCAAACCGTATTGGAGGCAACATAACCCTGTACGGCTCAATCAAGATGATTCACAAGCAGATTGGTCCTACTTTGGTACCTATCCTTTCTCGAGTCAGCCAAATCAGTGTAAAACTGTAAATAGGGTAAGGTGAAACACGGCTGAATCCTCCCAAATAGTATTTAGATAGATGATCGATATCTACCTCTTAGATCAGTAGAAATCGTCTGCGCATGACCTGAGGTCACGTGATGTCCCGCCATATGAACCACTACTCTGATAGGTAACAGCAGGTCTTATCATTTAAGAACCCAACCACAGCGGCATGCGTCAAATATACATTCCCTGGTCAGTCGCAAAATGAGCGGACAGAATGGTCAGAGGCCTGTATTAGGAGAGAATGTATGGTTGGCGTCACTAAAAGCCGGAGCTTTGAGCGGTGAGTTCTTCACTCTGCCTAAGCAACCCAGAAACTTGCCCTCGAGATCTTCAATGCTCCAATATGACGGGTTTCTTCTAAAAAGCTACTGACTTTTGCCATTCAGGCTCTGCTGGCCTCGTTTATGGAGGCATCTCCGGTGTCATAAGGTCTCCTCATCCTGTAATCCATTCGATTTCTTGCGGTATCCACTGGTTTGCCTGTGGGACTTCTTTCTGGTGTACGTCGTATCTCTTCCATGTCTGGTGATGTTGGATGCTTATGATACTGATTACTTGATTGCAGGGCTAAGGAGTAACATCCTAAGTCTCCACTATGAGGATAAGGCGACCCCAAAACAGAGAGCCTATGTCAGCGCTGTCTCTGGTGGCATCGCTGGCGGCGCCGTCACTAGATTAATGGGTACTTGAACTCCAAAGTCTACTTGAAATGTTCGAATTACCAGAGATCAGTACTAATGCGATTCGGCTTAGGCGGTCGTCTCATCCCAGGAGTTGTTGTATTCTCGCTGCTCGGCTACCTGGGACAGAGATCCTACAATGCTATCGACTCGTGGCAGATGGAACATGCAAATACCCCATCGAAGCCAATTCTGCAACGAATAGCAGATTCCAAATGGATTCCACTCAAGACCCTCTCTGATGACGAATACAGGGGGATCCTGAGTGAGAAACTGCTCAGCATTGAGGCTGAGATAGCTATCATCGACGAAAAGATCGAGGAGCTTGAGAAAGCCAAAGCAAACGGACAGGGCATGACGGGAGTGGATCCTTCATCAACTAAATGACCGCATTGCGTCGACATCAGACTTTCTTTCCCTTCCAAGGTTACGGGAATGTTCACGAATTGTACAGTCATCCAGGGCTTGGACGGCGAACCAACTTCGATCGCTCTTAGGAATCCCCGCAGATGCGAGCATCACGGGCTATGAGAGGTTTCGATCATTGTTGCTCACCATAGTCTGAGGAGAAATCTGATTCTTCTTAAAGGCAGCTAAGTATGTCTATGGACATCCCTGATGAGAACAGTGCAAGGACGTCTTGTATTATATCAAAAGGAGCAATTTGTAGGATAGCCAAGGAGCTGGAGAGTGTCTCACCATTTTGTACTGGCAAATGTTCAATACTTTCATCGAGGATGATCAGCCCAGATCTGTAGGGCGACTTTAGAAAAGCTCACATCCCAGTATATTATAGCTAAAATTCACAGCTCAGCGTCTAATTTGCCTGGAACATGACACTGAACCGTGAAAGAATTATTTTAGTGACAATTTGATAGCACAGAGACAAGAAAGCCTTGATTGAATATATAACTAAACCTACCCCTGAATGTAGTTGTTAAATAGCACTTGCAAAAGTTTAGCTGGATGATATAAAGATCGACAGGCTGACAGCATTCCAAGGGGCCTCCTATTCCCATCCCCATCCCCGAGTATGGACTTATATGTATGTGTTCATTATGCAAGTCCAAAGCTCTATGATATGTAGGTCAATAAGGATCCTTTAGAGTAACTAGGGTTGATCAACTCATTGCCGAAGCAGGGAAAAGCCGATGCACATTCAACGTTGTATGACGTGCTCTAGTCGTTTCCTGAGATGGTAGTCTATCTTCTGCGGCCCATATTAGAGAGGTAGTATTCTGGCTAATAGTTCCGAGCCTGGCAGAGTTCGCCAGTTGACCCCAAGCAATCATGCCGAGACAACCGATCCGCCACAGAGCCAAATACTCCGTATTCCGTAGTTAGTTAGTTAGCTCTGACCAAGTGGGCGGGCTTTCCGCTTCCAGATTCTTGTCCCCTCTTGTTGCTGACATTATTATTCTTGGGATAGTTTGACAGATCGGTGGATCTATGATTCAGCCGCTCCGGTTCTATCTATCACCTTATGATTCCCCCCTACCATTACTCAACATCCATCACATTCTGATTCTGTTCAATTTTGTGCGAAGCATGCCTGGCTTATCACTGTCGAGGCTTTCTTCGGACACTTTGCAGACCAGTGCGCAATTCTGGTCTTACTGAGACCTGTCCCTCGTCGACTCCGAACGCTTGTGAAGAATTGCTCGTATCGCGGGTCATTCCTCAAGGCAAACATATTTCTAGCCTGAGCTCGGCGACTTTTTTTCTAATATTATAACTGTCTCAAACTATTTGCAGCATCGGCTAGCATCTCGATGATTTGTGCCGTCAATCCCCTGGCCTTGTTCGACGGATCGGTCTCCCTACTGGTCGCGAGACGCGATGACGCTCTTTAGTCCGACGACCGTCCTCGTGGGTTTCCTCCTCCTCTACCTTTCCTCGTTCCTTATCTTCGCCATCGTTCGAATCGCAACGGGAGTTTCTATTCAGCGAATCGGCTATTTCTCCCTCCGCCGCATTGCCTATGTTCCGAGAGAAGGGATACAAATCGAACTTCGTGGCTTGGGATTATCTCTACATCCTCCGTCCTTCGCGCAACCGACATGGCTGAGTCTTCGCTTGACGGAATTGAAGGTGACCGTGAACCCTTCAGCTTTGGGAAAGGGTAATAGCAACACAGCAAAGGCGTATGTGCCAGAGCCTCAAAGCTCTTCGGACGTGGGGGATACTTCGCAAGATGGAGGGGAGAGCAGCCCGGCACGTGCTCGGCGGAGCAAGACGTGGAAGACACTCACACGGATGAAGGAGCAGGTCAAGAGGCTTCACAGAAAGATACATTGGCTCAAATTGGTGGATGTCGTTGCCGTGAATACAACTATCAATCTCCTCGAAGCCGGCCAATTCCAGATAGGATCGCTCTCGTTGGCGGTGGACACCAGGCGGAAAATGGTGGACCGGGCAAAGGTGTTTCGCCGGAAGAAGGATGAGTCTGGTGAACTATGCCCAGCCGAATGGATCATGAATGTGCGAAACGTCCTACTCGCGGTCGATGGCAGCGAGCCGGCCGAGCTTCTGGATCATGTCCAGGTCAATATCCACGGACTCCTCCATAGTAACCTCGACGGACTCAGGGATACCTCTATTGCACTGAAAATCGGAAGACTCCATATTCCATATGATGAACTGACAACCGTCTCACAACGAATTAAGCAGTTTCGGCGGTCGAGGAAGGAACCTGTCATCAATGACACGGACGACGAGATTTCCTTTGCCGACTTTGTCGAGGAGTTGGACAGACCTGGCAGTCGTGACGATGTGATTGTGCAAACGGTCGCTGATTCGAAAGAATTTGCAAGCTCCCTGCTACGTGGCATTCGAGAAATTCAACTGGCTTTGAGTTTCTTCAGACTGTCTCGCATAGTCCAGCCGTCTTCTGCCGGGCAGAAATCGGTCTACTTGAACGTCATATCCCATGAAATCGGCGTTGACCTGCATCGCATGGACCAAAGGAGTCCCGCGCATCGCATGTATTTTCAGCGGGACGACGTCGCACATCAGGCCCTTCTGGCCGCCATCTCTTTGTCAGTAAGCTTGGACGATAGCTCGGGCGAGACGGATAACATCGTATACATCCCTATGGCTACCACAACAATCAAGACTACGCTTCCTTCCAAAACTGTGGGCTCTTTCGATGACCATAATGCGGAGGAGCGCAACACAAATATCCTCTTTGCCAATTTTGTTGTCACCTCGCCCTCTCTCGATCTAGAACCACATCATCTTGACCGACTTCTAGGTCTGGTTCAGACTCGAGCATCCTCCCCGCGCGGAAAGAAGCGCGACAATCATCGACTGATTTCGCGGCTGCTCCCGAAAGCGAATATTAAGCTTTCCGTGCATGAACCTGTCGTTCGACTCGTCCTCCCCATAACTAAAGAATCAGCCGGCTCTGATGATGACTATAATCTTCTAATCTCCTCCATATCCGCCATAAATCTCGATATAGATTCTTCGCACTCGTCAGAAGGTGGAGTACATTATTCTCTCTCGTCAGTTTATCGGGTCGCAGATCACAAGCTGTACTATCAGACCCCAACCGGGGTCAAGCACAATCTGCTGACCACAGAGACCCTGGAACTCAAGGTCCTCCTCAACGCGTCGCCAGAGGTGTGCGTGATCGCTACGGGGACACTGAACACATGTTCCGTCCACATGGTCAATGGTGAGGTCAATCGCGGCATTCGCCAGGTTGTCGAGCAATTTCGAGCTCAGACGCAGAACAGGTGGAGGGCCTCGATGGCACGCCAAGAAAGGAAACCGAGCATACTAAGGCGTATTCCGCCATGGTTACTCAATTTTCAGTTTGAGGCCACGGGCCTCAGTTTGGAAATCGCTGGAGTGGACAGTACCGTCTCAAAGCTTTCCCGGGGAGTTTCATTACAGATGCAGTCGTGGACTGCAGAATACAGAGCCCAAAAAGCCGAACCGACTCACATCAATCTCGTACGGCGACGCACCCCAAGTCACTCCACCATTGGTGACGAATCGCCGTTCCGATTTCCTCCAACATCACCGCCCAGACAAATTCAACATGGTGCTGCCGATGGGAGACGGCTGGTTTTCCACGCCCGTGGCTTCGAAGGCTTTGTGATTGAATCTGATGACTACTTGGAGCCTGAGCCGTTCTTCTCACTTCCCCGATTTGAGGTTGCACTGAGCACCCAAAGTGACCGACTTGGTCCTATCTTTCATATCAACTCGGTTCTGAAGGGTGTCTATTTGCATTATTCACTTTATCGCTATTACTGTCTTGGAGTGGCGGTGTCTGTTATTCAGGATGCATTCATTCAACACCCTACAGAAGCACCAACCCAGCCACCGTTCGAATGGCAGACGAGGGGTTCTGCAACCTCGCCCTCTGTTCCACGGCCACCCCTCAAAAGGAATGAGCTCATTACGGTGGATATTAGAGCTACAGTCGTTCAAATCAAAACATTCCTACCTGCCGATCCTCCAATGTTGCTACAGATATATGGATTGGCGGCTGGGTCTCACCGTCTGTCGTCTCCCTTCGTGAAGGCTCAGCTGATTCGCTTACATGCGGAAGCTCCCAAGCTCAAGGGTGTTTGGGCTAGGATTATCAGCATGAATAACATCAAGGTTGACCTGCGTAAGTTCAAACTAAAGCAGGGCTCTAATTTAGTCGACGAGAAGTCGATAGACATCTGGGCCGACTTTATCCGCATAGGGGTTCCTCATCACATGATCATGCATCGTGTCTTCGACAACTGGGTCAGCACTGCTAAAGCTCTTAAGCAGCTCCATCATCGCTTCAAGAACCGTTCATCAGAATTCATTTCAGCAAGGGATCCAGAAGCGCCAAAGAAGGTTCCACGGATCTCGCTGCGGAGTAAAGCTTTATTATTCGAGCTCGAAGATGATGCATTCGAGTGGAAACTAGGTTGCATCTATCGGACAGGTCTACTTGAACAGCGACAACGTTTGGCGCGAGAGGAGGCGTTTGAGCTCAAGGTTCAGAAAATCAGGGAGTCAGGACGGGCCTCCTCCAGGTTGAGAACAAGATCCAGCCATCGGACCCTTCGCAGCGAACGGACAAGCCATGACACCAAAAGGAGCAAAAGTGCTGATCCGAAGCCTCGCGGCCATGCTCACGATACGAAGGGTGGACGGGGGAGGAGATTTCGGTATGATACGGAGGGCTCCGCTTGCCTGTCTTCCGATTCCAAAATCTCCGAGGAAAGAGCTTGGTTCCGTCTTCAAGAACACAATGCTCGATCTTGGAAGCAGAAGATTGACGCTGCTTTTCTGTTTCAAGGCAGCTCTATCAAGGAAATTCGGAATCTCTTTTCTGGAGCTGATGAGCCACCTGATGATGCCACTGTGACCGAGAAAATTCTGGGCATTCCAAACAGACCTGGTATCATGTCAGCCTTGATAACTGATCTCAGTCTAGTCATAGACAAACCGTCTTTCCCCATTGAAGAGTTCCCATCGTTTCTCCATAGGCTTGGAAAGGGAATCCCTCTATCCACACAATACGCTTTGATCGTTCCAATGAGCTTCCACCTGAACATGGGCGAAGCTCGAGTCAACCTGAGAGACTACCCCTTGGACTTGTTGCATATACCTGCCTTACGTCCGGGCCAGTCTCCCAGACTCTCAAGTTGGTCGCTTCGAACGGATTTTGTTATAGCCGAAGAATACCGCGACTACAGGTCGTCGAGAAAGGTACAGTTAGAACTCGTCCCATTAACCGAACTTTCGGACGGAACCACGAGTCCTCCCTTTTTAATTGATGTGTGGCGATCTGTGTCTCCTGTCAAGACGTACTCCGACCCTACCATCGAAATCAATACTAGTCTTCCGACAAGCATCTCCTGGGGTATGTCATATCAGCCTGTGATTCAGGACATGATGAAAATCATAGAAGGCTTCACGAAGACCGAGATAGACCCGTCTGAAAGAGTTGGGTTCTGGGACAAGATTCGACTAAGTTTCCATTCGCGCATACGAGTTCTATGGAAGGAGGACGGCGACGTTCACCTGCGCCTTAAAGGCTCTAGGGATCCATATGTGGTCACTGGCTTCGGAGGCGGCTTTGTCATGTGCTGGAGGAAAGACGTTAAATGGGAAATCCACACCAGCGACGATCCGAAGGAATTCATGAGTGTTACAAGTGGGGAGTATGTGCTGGCGATCCCAGACTACAGCAACGAGGCTCGATACGTGCAAGAGGCCACCGCGCAGGACTTGGAGAGCAGTTCTTCTTCAAGCGATTTCAAGAACGCAACACTTTTCAAGAAGGTTGTGATGAAATTGTCGGGCGACGTCCGGTTAGTTGCTGGCTTGGTCTTTGAACGTAACGTAGACGGGGACAAGCGGTCGTTTGAGTTCAGACCGCATTACGATGTGATCCTTCGAAATCCGCAGTTTATCGATCCAGAGGAGCGAAAGGCACGTACAATCCATTCTCCGGAGAGATTTCTGGCTAATTTTTTCATCACAGGACTACGACGCCTATCGCGGGTTCCGGAGCAACCACATTCATTTGTCCATCTCGGTCGTTGCCCCTGTGAGCAGGAACTGGGACGTTGACAATCTTCAGCCCTCAGCAAGCTACAACGCTGTTCACTTGAGTCCGCGATTTTTCACGCACTTCTTCAACTGGTGGTCTCTATTCTCGGGTGTGATGTCTCTCCCAGTCCGCCAGGGCCCTCTTTGGCCTGGTATCACCAAAACGAGCAAGAAGTTCAACCGCCATCTCGCTACTGTCAAGTACAAACTGCTCCTCGCCCCTCTGTTTGTGGCTCACATCTACAAGCACAAGGACCGTGAGGATTACGCGGAAGATGTGGTCACAGCAACAGGGCTGAAGGTTCGTCTGGACAGTCTCAAGCTCGATGTCCATCAGCGGCGGGAGCAAATCAAGACGGTAGCAAAGGGTCGCCTGAAGCAAACAAAGACAAGCGCAATGCGAATCAACCAAGGCCAATTGGATTTGCAGGCGGCGGATTTCAGAGCCGTCTCAGTTAGCATTGAAGGAACGAATCTCGATGACTTAGGGAAGAACCGGGACGATATCATATCTTCTTTCCAGCAGCCAGTTCCCTCGGTTGATTTATCACGATTCACTATCCCAGACCAAAACCTTGATTGGATTGATATGGACGACTTTGTTGAGCTAGATTGGATACTACCTCAAGAGTCCAACCCAAAAACACATATACTCCCTCTTGCGTTCACCCCACGTTTCACCTACTTTCGCCAGACCGATCATGGCGATATAACTCCAGATCAAACAGGGTACAGCCCATTCGGGCATGAGCCCACTCACGATTGCGTTATGTCCGAGAGTAACGAACCTCGTCGGGTACAAATGGAACTGATCAGGGATCGCCTCGCAACTGTTGAAGCACAAATACGGAACTTCGATCGTCAGATTGGGGAGCAGGAGCTCCGTATGGCAAAGGATGTCGACCATCATTCTGACCTTAAGAAGGAGCATGAGGACTTTGTCAGACAGGCTGAATCGCTTGCTCGGAGACGTGCCTTCCTTGTGACCGGGCTTCGTCGCCTTGAAATGCAACTTGCACGCGAAGATAAAACGCCAATTGATAAGAAGCCTGAAAATTTCGCGAGTGACAGCTCGTTCCGACTTGGTGCTGACTTGGATTCAACAAACGATAGCAAGGAAGCGGATCTCGACGGCTTGTATTCGTCGCGCAACGATGAATACGCTAGCGACTTCAACAACCGCTTCTTGATCCACAACATGCAATTGAAGTGGAACAACTCGCTCCGCAACATTATGCTGCGCTATATTCATCAAGTGAGCCAAAGACGAGGTTTCGTGTACTACATGTCCCGCAGAGCCGTCAAATTCATTCTCGATATTGTCGAAGAACAAAACAAAAACAATCAAAGACAGTCTAAAATGTTCAAGGGCTCGTCGAGGCGGCCTTCCAATGTGGACACAGACGAGGACAGTGTGGAGGATCGTATCGAACAACTTCTGAACGATACCAAACGCTTTGTCAGTGCTGAGGAACAGGAAAGCGTTGACTCGAACTCGAACACCCAGACCCAGCCAGATTCTGACAGCTCTAGCGAGAATATCGCTCCCGAGTTCACTCCCCAGAATAGTTACTATTTACGGTTGATTGCGCCACAGATCCAGCTTCAGAGCGAGAAAAACCAGAAGTCAGTCTTGTTGGTGGCAGCGAGTGGAATGCAACTGAAAGTGATTTCAATTATGGACAAAGAACGTGTTTCAGATGATGTCAGCGGTTTGGTGCAGCGGCGCTTCTCTCTTGACATGGATGGTGCTCAGTTCTTCGTCGCAACTCAGAAGAATCTGATGAATCACTTGCAGTTCTATGCCGGTAATAAGTATGGCAACGCTCCGGGATCGGCATGGCCACCTTGGGTAACGCTCGAGGCCATGTTTGACTTTGAACTGAATCCTTTTGGCTTCTCAAGAATCATCCAGAAGACTTCTGCCAGCTTGAGATACGACAAATACAACAACCTGCGTCTGAAGTACAATGAGGAAGTGGGAAAAGGGCAATGCAAACACGCCGGTCCAGATGGTCAAGAGACCAGGATGGATCATATCAGCGTCGACTTTCCTCACTTTCGGGCCATTTGTGACTCGGCTGAGTATTACTCATTGTACATCATCGTGCTGGATCTTTTGCTCTATAGCGAACCTTTGGAAAAGGTCAGAAATGAACGTCTGGAACGCATACTTCTCACTTCGGATTTCAGCGATTTGAGAGGTGCCCCGGAGATGGTGTTCAAGCTGCAGTCCCGCATACGTCAACTAGAGGAGATCAAAGAGCATTTTCAGATCAACGCCAAGTATCTGGACAAGCGTGGCTGGGAAGACCGGCTGGTGCTGGAAAAGGATCTGGCTCAATGCGAAGACGAGTTGTTCTTCTTGATGAAAGCCATCACGACATCTCAAAGGCGGATCGAGCCGACAACGTCTGGAGCAAATGGAATTATGAGATGGAATATTTCTGCATCCGAGGTAGTATGGCATCTTATGAAGGACCAATCTCAGCCTTTGGTCGAATTCCAGCTACGGAACGCCGAATATGATCGCACGGACAATAGCGATGGCTCGAATCACAATATCGTGGCAGTTGAACGGATATACGGCTTGAACCTTCTCCCGGACGCCATCTACCCTCAAATCATCGTGCCGTATCTTGACCAGGCCAAGAACCTGGACGGACCCGACGAATATATGATTAGGGTCAAGTGGCACATGTTGGAAGCTGTTGGCGGTATCCCCGTTCTCGATGATTTCGAGGTGTCGCTGTTCCCGCTCAAGATACAGCTGGAGCGCGAGCTTGGCCAAAGGGTGTTCGAGTATATCTTTCCGAATGTTGGCTCCAATGGGTTCGATGGCGGTTTCTCACCTTTCATGATCAAAAACATGAAACCTTTGGAGGGCTCGGAATCGGAGGAAGACGATGATAGCCCATCTCCGCCTCCAAGCGCGCAAGGCACAGGCGACATATCAACCGAGGACCTTTCAGGAACCAAAGGACCCGGCGCTATTGAGCTCAGATTGCAGCCTACGCTTTCGCTGTCGGACGAAAAGAGACCCGGTTCGCGTCACAGTTCGTATAATCTCAAGGGTCTTGGCATGACGGCGATTCACAAGAAAGAGCAGAAGGACAGCAACCGTCTGGGAGTATCGCAACCAAACCGCCCAGCAACGAGTGCTAGCTCATTGAGCAAGAAGAAGTCAGTTGAGAGCATGCGAATGCTCGCCAGACAGCCTACGGATAAGTCATTCGCCAATGGCTCGACCACCAACGTCGGGGAAGATAAAGGGAAGAAATTTACCCTGATATCGAACAAAAGCGGTAAATCCAAGGAAGCGCAAGACGATCTATCGCAGATGATGTCTCGCGCATCTAGCTATATGTCCCTTGCTCACGTGAAGGTGAACGATGTCGTACTTTGTATGAGCTACAAAGGCAAAGGGGAGCACAACCTCGAGGACATCCATGACTTTGTCTTCCGACTTCCCGTTCTAGAATACCGGAACAAGACGTGGTCCAACTTGGATTTGGCTCTGCGACTGAAGAAGGATGTCATCAAGGCTCTGATCTCTCACGCACCCGCGATACTTGGCAACAAATTTTCTCATCATCGACCTTCAAAGCAACAACTGAAACGCTATCGCGAGCTTGCCAGTTCATCTCAGCTCCTTCAGCACCCGGACAGTGCATCAAATGCCCCGGCGGGCAAAACCCAGAGCCTAGCGAGTTATGACTCCAACAGCGAACATTCGGAGTCAACGTCTCAACGCTCAATTCATTCGGGGACCTCCCCACTCGCGCGATCGCACTCCTTAGGCTCAAGTATGCTTAGCGTCCAGGATCAAGGCACACCATTCGACTCGCGCTCTGCGAGTGAAGTGGATGTCGATGCTCGCTGGGAGGTACGTCTCTACAATGTCGTACGAATTTAGAGAGCAGCTAGAAACTAACCGACCTCATAGCAATCTCGTAGGATCGTCAACCCTCCGAACCGGCCAATCACCTCGAGCCAAGCCATTGCAAGAGCTGAGACCAAGATTTGGGATGGGCCCGATGAGAGGTACATACCAAGCAGTTTAGCGTCAAGGAGGTCTCATCGCTAATTGATTAATGCAGTCACAAAATGACCATACGAAGCTTTGGACGAAAGTTGCTGCCATCCCGAAAATAACGGCCTATCAAAAAGTTCAGCTCGCTCAACAGACCAGCCATGAAGTTGTGCGACATCCTCCATTCTAACCACCCTCTCACCTTTCACCATCTGCCTTCTCCCTCATCCTCAATAGCCTCTCTTAGTTGCCGACCTCGTTTCAATATCCGGAATCCATTTGAGCGTCTTGTGCCATGGTTTATCTCTGCGCAGTGGATTGTATTTGGGCGTCAGATACCGGATGCATTTTTCTGTTCTTCTCCCGCAAGATAAGCTTTGATATATCGGGGTCTGTGTACCCGTCATTTCTCCCTGTCAAGTTCTAATTTCCCCGACATTTATAAGATCGATTCCTCTGCGGCGAGTGTGTTGTTCTACCTCTGAGCGTTGTACAGTTCTCTTATTCCTCTACCTTGTTGCTTCTTTTTTCGGTATAAGGATACGGCGATCGAGAGGGATTAGATCGAGTTGGTTGCATTTCCTGGTGGCGTGGGTTATACTTCTAGTACATACTTGAGGCGCCCTGTTGGGAGTACCCTGCTGGTTTTTGGATACCAAAGATGGATAGATGGAAATCGGAATAGCATTGTTTTCTTCAAAGGCAGCTTCTTACAGTTGGCTCGGCGGAGGTGATGACAGATGTGATGACACTACTAGTACAGTGTGGTATTGTTGAGGGAGACATCGAGACTGAAGCTTAGAAAGTAGTGATACAATTGTAGAAATACAAAAAGGAAAAGAAATCATACCGAAACAACCGCTGGGGTATCTATGTACATCACACATCTCACCATAGCTTCTGCTTGTGTTCGAATAATGCAAGACGCTGTCCGATGTTCCCGTGTCCCTGAATTGACGGCTCATCCCAACGCCAATGCATTCATTCATAATAGCACAACGACCGTTAAAATTGGTTAACCTGTTTTAAAAATTGGGTTGATTGAGGAGAATGTTGAAAGCACGATTACACGTTCGAGTGACCATCAGACGGAGTAGTCGGCGACGACTGCTTTTCCCGCACCCAGGGCAAGAAACTCGGCAGGTGGTCCTGGACCGATTCCAGACGGGTCCGGGCCGACGGGGCACCGACTATATCGGTGTATGTTGGCACGTCTCCTTGCCCGCGATTCTCCCTCCAGTTTTTCTTTTCGCGACGAAGATCACTTTTCACCCAGGGGATGGTGATGAGGGTCCAGATGCCGGCCCAAGCGAAGGGGAGGGACCAGCCCAGCTATTCGAATGTTAGTGGTTGTCCTATGTTAATTTGCGGGATATGAGAATGGGGACGTACGGTGTAGGCGACGGGCTTTGAGGTCGTGAAGATTATGGCGGTAATGGCAGCAGCACAGACGATTGAGCCTCCTGCCCAGAACATGTTCATTTCGAAGAGCATGCGCCGGAAGTATGGACTCGAAAGGTATCGCGTGCGCAGTGCGTAGCGGTACATCTGGCCGCCGCCTCCGTCGACGGCGACAACATCTTCGATGAGGACGTAGAGGGCTGTGGGCATCACGGAGCCCTTTGGTGTGGAGGATATTCGGAAGGGGGCTTTGAATCCACAGACGCGGAGCATGTCGAGGGTAAGGTAGACGCCACCGAAGTAGAACATTACGGAGGGAAGGACCATGGCGACGAGGCGTACTGTTCAATTCGGCGGATGATCAGCAATGCAGAGGGCGTTTGGATGGATGAAACTCAAGTATGGAAACATACCATATGGTTCCGGCTGCACCGTACCACTGGCCAGAAGGTTTAGCATGGTCACTCCGAAGATGGCTCGCAGACTTGCGTTACTTACACGATGAGCTCAACTGCCAGAATCAACCAGACAATCGTGAAATTGATCTGGAAGAAATCCAGCTATCGCCCAATATCAGCACTTGCCATCACATGATTGGTGTTTCTTTTTAGCCTACCCATGATTTCCTTGCGTTCAATGGTCGAGACTTGGAATCTTTTCGAATCAAGTGATAGAGACGGTAGAAGTACTCGAAGACGGAGACACCCCCGAGGGACGCAGTGACGATGGAGAAGACTATTGGTCCATTATGGAGATATGAGCAGTCTGTCCAAGTCCATAGCTCCTACAACGAGAGCGGATTACTTACCCACATTGTGCGACAAATCCGTGGCGTACCAGAGGGCCCAGTAGAGCACCAGAGGTTGGGCCAATGTATCGAGCAGAAAAATCGCCCAAAAGATGGCGATAGATTTCTTTCTGGTATGCAGTGAATAAGGGAGTGGTGGAGGCTCTAGAGGCACCGTGGTAGAAGAAGTTCCTTCTTCCATCAGTCCAGAGTGGCGGTTTGTGTTGTTGATGGCGATGCTTTTCGGAGATAGAGTTGGTTAGACGGTGAAACTCATGGCAAGGCGCTGATGAGTGCGCTGGGGAGTAATGGTGAGGAACAACGGAATAACAGATCGTGGCAAGTCAAGTTGGAAAAGAGGCGACTTGAAGCTTTATTATTATTTTTATTATCAGAGACGGAGGCGCTCGGAACTGACGGCTTGAATGGTTTCTGGCGGGTGTGTTTATTAAGGTTTCTTTTGATAGACGGACTTGGTTTCCTTAGGCCGCCAAGCAGCGTGGTGCCTGACGTAACACGCCTCGCAATGAATGATGTCATCTGATCGCAATCGTCGACGCGCTGTCATTTTTCTTGGTTATTTGAATATCATCAGATTTGGTCAGCCCATTGAAGCACATTGGCAATGAGTCTAGATGATATAACTTGATCTAGCATGGACACAGGGTTCGTGGGGTGGGTGATGTATGCCTAGCGCTGCCATGCTGTTGGCTTAAATATCTGGCGGCCACACATACTGTCACTACTAGGTAGGTTCTTCGTGCTCGATGACAGTACCAATTGACAATCATCGCTATTGTTCATAAGGCCATGAGCACTAAACAATTGCCTGTTTATCACTATCAGGGACCGAATCTAGGGATAGATACAGAGTACACTATGCAACTCTCCAAAGCATATCATATAATCATGGTTGAGAAGTTCCGGACCCACCCAGCTGATCATTGACGATCCCGGCATTAATTTATGCATGCAGTGCAGAAATAGCATTAATGCAATGAATGGTCTTTCTGACATATAGCACGTTCTACCAATCTCACTACATCAAAGGCAAGGTGTCCGAGTGGTCTAAGGAGCACGGTTCAGGAACTGGACCTATAAACTGATTCATCAGTTTCCGTGTCTCGCAAGGGGCGTGGGTTCGAATCCCACCCTTGTCATTTCCTTTTTCTTTTTTTGTTATTCATCGCAATTATCTGGTCATCTATTTACCCTCCAGAGTCCCCTGTTGTAGACACAATAGTGATGTAATAATAATACTGGTGGTTGGATATTTGATGGCCTGCATTTTTGAGCCAAATCACGTGACAGTATCCGCCTCCCCATCCAGTTTCTTCTCACTTCTTCTGTCCATGAACTTTTTTCTCCTACGGCGGCGGTTCGAATCTCGTCTCCTGCTTCCATTTACAAACCACAGCAGAAATTTTCTCCGTTCTATGCTATGATATCTTATTTGTCCAGTAACCCTACCAGCTGTCTTAGAACAATGGAGACAACATGGCTCCCAGCTTACAAGACCTGATTGATCATCTTCTCGCGGAGATTGCGCTCTGTGGCGACCAAGGTGGGTTGTGTTTCTTCCATTCTGGCGTCGTCGTCCTTGTGTTTTTTGCCACTATTCCTGCATGTTGCTGCATCCGCGCCGACTAGTTTAAGCATACCAAACCTTAGTGCCGTCTGTCTGCCATTCATCCAATAAGACTGCCCATCATGTAGTTATTCTCTACCATCATCATCGCATCCTACCTCATTCACCACACTTACCCTAACTAACATGCATAGGCGCATCTCCTGCGGATATCTTGACTTTCATCGACACATTCTACTCCAGCGCAGCCCATGAGACACCTGCACGGAGTCATACTGTCGATCGCCCATTCCAGGAAAAAGTCTGGTCTTGGTTGACAAGACACCCAGAAGTCTCAGTCGGGAGAGACCGAGAGAGTAATCATCTGCACCTGAATGATGCTGAACGACTCGCTCGTGAAGCGGACCCTGAACATGCGGTCCGGGTTTTCGTCTCTAGGGAAAGGAGATGGCTAGCGGTGGCTGGTCATGAGCCGGATGAGACCAAAGTGCTTCCCTTGGAATTCGCACTTCTCTCCATCATTGCGTCCCATAAATCCAACGGAATCTTCCAAACAGATCTAGTCAAACTTAGCGGCCAGGATAAGCGTTCTGTCCCCAAGCGAACCGACGTGCTACAAGAAAAGGGGTACATTGAGAAACGGGCGATACAGATCAAGTCAGTACGGACCAGTCTCTGCGTGCTGCGAAGGTTCTCCAAGTTCGACCTCTCTGGTGCTGGCACGGCTGGCGACCAGGAAGAGCGCCTTATTGACTTTAAGGACTTCACCGACAAGCTCTTTGCCATCCTCCGGGAGTACAAGATTATCGCCCGTACCGATCTCAAGAGTGCTCTCGGGTTCGCCGATCCCTGGCGGTGGAGAGTTCTCTCCCGAGCCTTGCGCAAATTCGAGCGTATCGGTGTGCTCAAGCGCGTTAGGGCCACGTCGCAGTATGCGGATGATATGAAGAAGCTGCATCCCTGTGTGATGCTTGTTCGCGAGCCAACAGAGAGGGACTATGAGCTATTTCATGAATATAGTCAAACTATCTACACCGACCTTGAGCAGGAAGATGGGTTAGAGCTGGAAGACGGTGCGGGTCCAGTTGATGCCAGTGAAGATTTCACCTCTGCCGGGGCTGACAGAGCTGTTGGTATGGTCAAGCAAGAGGGGAATGTGGAGGAGGCCGGTCGGACGATACCTGCTTGGTCTCCGGATCGTAATATACATAATCAGATATTCGACCTTGTCGACCAAGCGGGAATCTTTGGGATTACCAACCTTGTGAGTGTGCAAATGGATAACTCAATGTGCACTCAATGTGCGAAGTGGCTTCTGCTGACATCGTTTAGGATCTCCTGCGAGCCGGTTTCGGGAGCTTTTTCCGCAGACCACTGGAAAACACCTTGGCTCGGTTAGTGGAATGCTGGCAATTGTCGCAGCCCCTGCATCTGCGCCATCTAGCCATTGTGAGAGACACGGCGCTTGAAAAGACCATCACGCATTATATCCATTACTCAACGGCCAACTTCCAAAAACTCGTTGATGCCGGAGAGGCATCGTGGGAAGCTGTTGAATTCATTCCCAGAAACACCAAGGCAGAAAAAATTTCTGTACCTCCCGTTGATGCTGTCCCCGAACTGGACGAGAATGGATTGCCAAAGGCTGTCCCTACGAAGGAACTTATTAAGAATGGCAATGCATCGCTTCTGGCTGGCGTCTTGGTGGTCAACCCAGCAGATTACAATTGCACTGGAAATGATCCTATGCCGTTCCGGCTGAAGGATGGTAGCTATGGTAAGTTTTAGCCCCTGGCAAGGAGTGAATCAGGGAAGTTAACTCTTGAGCAGTAATCCGTTTCGGCGCGCCAGGTATGAATCGAGTCGGACGTCCGAAGGGAACCCCCAACAAAGTAAAGCCTAAACAGGAACGTCTGTCTGAATTGGAAGCGGATGTCATTCCTGAGCAAGACCCCGTGGCTATCAGGCGATTGAAGAAAGCGCAACGCGACGAACAGAGATTCCGAGGGATGTCTGAAAAAGAGAAACTCGAGGCGTTGGGGCTGGATGAAACGTGGACTGAATACAGTGTCTTGCTCCTTGAGCGTACAGAACCTGGCGTGTACATCACGCCTCGCGGACGACGCAGACCAGCGGGGAAACGACAAGGTCGCCCGAGAATCTCCCGCCTTGCTGTTTTCAGGTCGCCAAAATTAGCATCACTGCCTTGGTTTACTGATACCCAGGAAGGCGAACCGGAAGATGAAGCTGATAGCACTATGCAAGAAGTTTCCCGCGCCCAAAGTGTCGAAACAACTCCTGTTCCCTCATTTATTGCGATCAATACCCCTGCAACGACCTCTTTAACGCCAGACACTCCTTCGAGAGGTACGAAAAGAAAGCTTCGGAGTCGGATTCCCCTTGACACAGAAGCTGAGCCGAATCATGAAAGACCGTCTAAACAGCAACGTATTAGAGACACCGAGGTATCTCAAGACGTTACTGAGGCTCATGTCTTAAGCTCTGAGGAACCATTGTCAGACAGACAGAAGACTGGCGAGCCCTCTACTGAGACCGTCAAGAACGTCTCTTCTCGGGCCAGCAAACGGAGAAGGGAACCGTCTCCAATCTCTACCGGGGAAGTTGTCGCAGTCCACAAGAGCATGCAAGGAGTAGCCTCTGAGATGGCACAAGCTCCGTCACCTGCAGGAAAAAAGCAAGTCGGCCCTTCACAGCCTCGTCAAAACTTAGAGACACCGTCCAAAAAGCGCCGATATGAACCTCAAGCTTTGCGAGGTGAAGAGACTGCCTCAACCCTTTCTCCGGCAGCCACGATGGAAAACGTCGCTGAGCAGGTTGCTCCATCAGAGCCGACCAAAGTTGAGAATGGGGAACATCGCCCAGTTGACGCAGAAGCAATCGGCACGCCATTGGAGGTCACAGCACACGAGGACATAGTGGTGGATGAGAATGCCCCAGCTGCAACTGCCGACGCAAGCGCCAGTATTCATAACCTCCAAGAAGCCAATGCTATCGACCTGAAGCTCACTGACGGGACACTAGACGTTGAGTGCCGCGACGTATCGCAGACGCCAGAGGGGCAACGACAGCGCACAAAGAGGCAAGACAAGTTAGGCTCTGTGGCGGTCTTACGCAGGAGCATTATCATGGATATTATTGAGAAAGTTGGAGGCGCGTACTCCATGGGTACCGAAATATGGTACCCATTTGCAACTGCATGGAAGAAGACGAAGTACAAGGAAAAGCCGGACATGCGAACAGTCAAGACATCTATAAAACACCTGATTGATGCAGGCAAACTGCGGCAGTTCACATTCAGCGGGAGGGACAGCAAAGGGGTAATGGTAACAAAAAGCATTGTCGCCAAGCCTGAATTGCAGCCTGATGATCCAATAATCAAAGACTTGCAGCATAAGATGCTTACCACGACCGGTCGATACTACTTCCCACCCGGCGTTGAAGTGGATCCCGAACTGACCAAGTCAAGTGCGAAAAGTGCAAAGAGTACGCCAAGCAGCGAACCCAAGATGGCGAAACTCCCTATCGAGCGTGGGATTACCGTGCATTTACATCAAAAGCCAGCCTCTGTCCTGGCTCTGGAGAAGAGAAAGGGACAGAGCATTCAACGACAGCTGCTGCAGCGCCTCCAGGCCGACACGGAGATTCGACGTCCCTCTGGAGTTGTTCGACTCGCCAAACTTCAACGCGGGCCCGCACGGGACTCTCTGGAACGCGATCTGGGGCCCATCTCCAAGACTCGAGAAAAGTGTCAGCTACGAAAACGCATCCTGAAGCATCGCACCCCAGCTGACGGTCTCGCTGGAGAAGATGTAGAAGAGGAAGCCCCCAGAGCTCCCCGCAGGTTGAAACGACTCTGGATGCCTATTTCGCTCATGACACCTTATGCTATGTTCATGAATCCAGTGCAGACGTTCCATTCCAGTACGGGCACCTTCTCGACAGAGGCCGGGCTTGCAGCGGTCCGAGCTGCGGCCGTTGCTCGTGCAAGAGCCGCCTTCCGATTTCCGAAATCTCTGGATGACCTCTTGGACCAGGTAAAGCGACCCCCGGTAGACTTCTCTAGGGCTGTGGATCCACGTACAAGCAAGCTCTTCTGTGAAACCGGCGTGATTTTGAGGTGGGAGCTCCAAAATGAAGAATTCATACATGAAAAACCAGCCGATGAAGGCCAGGAGTTTTCTTTTATCCATCAAACGCTTGAGGATTTCCCAGAGGCAGTCCCGATAGAAGGGGATATCCAGATTGAAATTGATCAGAGCGCCTATCCTAGGGTGCGCGTTCCGAGAGTCAGGAAGATCAGAGAAGCAGCTCGCCGTTTGGAGTTACTTGAGCCTGAAAAATCTCTGCCAGAAGAGGCAGAGGAGGCAGAAGAGGCGGAGGAATCGGAAGAGCCTTCAGAATCGGAAGTTTCCTCTGACTCTGAAGATTCGGACGACTCGCTGGATGCACTGGATCTGCTGTTCTCCGCTGATGCACGTAGACGGCGCAACGACTACGTCCCGCAAAACCGTCGCTTGGAGAAACTAGCCGCCGAAGGTCCTCGAGATGTCGTTGTGGCAAAACCGCCAAACCGACCGGCTGCCCGCCGGAATCGAGCTCTTCAGCATCTGCCACGTCTGATAGCCGAGAGGATTCTGACTGCGATTGTGGTCGTTCGGGCACTAGCCGGCGGCTATGAAGGCAAGATCGTTGACTGGCAGCTGGTTTGTCAGAGTTTCCCCAACCAGGACCCCAAAATGATCCAAGAGCGGGGGAAGAACATTCTCAGCAGAAACCGACTGCAGGTAGCGAAGATGCAGAGCGACTTTCAGGAGCGGTTTATTGTAGCGTACGCGAACGGCCATGTGCCGCCGATCAATTACGAGGACTTGGAAGGATATGATTGGGAGAGGGTCGTCGACTGGGCACAGGCAGAGCTGGACATTCCCAAGTCTGAGAAGCTGCCGGATCTTCCTGCCACCAAGGACCAGTTCGACAGCGTGTTTGAGCTACGCGAGGAGCCACCGGTCACGCTGGATGAACTCTATCAGAATACCCATGGAGTGACCGTGAACCGCAGACGTGCTCTCTATGCAGGCGTGCCTTTCGCCACCTCCCTGCCTGAGAAGCCGGCCCAACCTACAGCACGACAGGCCGAGCTTTCGCGGTTGGAAGTAGCCAAGACGTGGGTCCGAGCCAACATCGTCGCACCGGAGGAGTCATACCGGCCCGCGGAGGCCCGGCAGGCCCTGGCCAATTTCGGAGGCAGACTTGTCGACGATGCGTTGCAGTCCTTGACGACGGAGCGGGTCGTATCGCAGGGCAACAGAGGGCGCATTACCCCGGGCCGCAACTACGATATCACCGAGTTCTTCCTCCACATGTTAGGCCGCAGGCGGAACATCGAGGTCACCCAGCTCCGGCGAGCCGCGCGGTTCAAAACCGGGACTCTGGATCCAGCGCTGCAAAGCACCGGCTCGTTCACCATCAACTACCACGCGGAAGACGGCGACATCCTCGCGCTGATCAACCTCGCCGCCGAGCGCAGAATCATCCTGAAACCGAAGGATCCCCCGCGCGACAAATTCGGACTCACGGACGGCGGCTACCTAACCAGACAAATCGACAAAGATAAGCTGCGCTTTGTGGTCCAGGTACAACCCGTCGAGGGGTCGTATACATACGGCAACCCGATCCGGGAAAAGGTCGCCAACACGCCCCCGCCGTGTCCGCCCCGTGCCGCCATCACCGAAGGCGAATTCGTCCCTGAGAAGATACCCCTGTGGTTCGATATCCATGGCAACTTTGTCAGAGTGCTCTGGGAGTTCGCCGTGGCGGCTGTCGTGGGGATCATCGCGGTGCGTCCCGGGATCAGTGCCAAGGGGGTTGCGGGCATGGTGCAACCATCGATGGGAGCGTGGGAGGTGCTGCTCTTGTTGAGATGGATGGCGGATGTGGGGGTTTTACGAAGGGAGAATGAGGATGGAGAAGTTGTTGAGGAGACGACCGGATGGCAAGTTCAAGAATGGTGGTGGATGTTGTTGGCATGACTATCTGACTCTCCGATGTAATGATATCTAATCAAACAAGCACTGTATAGTAGTCCTGTTGTGAAACGCCAACCTCGAATAAACTGTTCACGAATTAATCCAGAGAACCTTGGAATAAACATCACCCCGTGTATGCACCAAACTCTAACCAAGTAACAAAGATAAACTATCCAAAAGCTCCTCGGGACCAGCCCACCGATAGAAAGAAGAACAAGGCTAATACTCCTCCGACTTTGCAAACCGTCGTACGATCATAAACGCCAACGCGACGAGAACACCCAGGATGGCTCGATCCAGCCACGGCGCATCTGATGTGGTAGTAGGTCGAGAAGTAGTCGTAGTCGTAGTCGTAGTCGTAGTCTGGACAGGAGTCGTGCGCGTCGGCGTAGGTGCAGGTGCAGGTGCAGCTGCTCCTGCAGGCGCAGATGACACAGACGGTACCTGTACCTGCACCTGCGACGGCGCACCATCCCTCGACGGCAGCGATCCCGATTCCCGCTGAGAAGGCGCCGTATCCGTCCCTGTATTTGTATTCGTATCCGCCGGTTCTCGTTCTGGCACTGGTTCTGATTTTGCTTCTACCAAAGCAGTGCCCTCGTTGGCGGTAGCACCCTGAACCTCATCATCATCATCAACAGCAACCCCCTTCGCGCGACACACCTCCCTCCACTCGCGCAATACCTCCTCATTCGATCTCCCCCCCTCACAAACATCGCACACCCACCGCCGACTCTCAACCGCATACTGCCTCCTCACACTCACATCGACATCCAACCCACCCACCTGCCCCTTCGCGTCCGCATCCATGAAACTCCGCAGCGCGAGCAGCGCCGTCCGGATCCCCCACGCAGGCTGCCACGTCTCCTCATGGTGGCCCGAGATACTCAGGCAGATCTCGCGGTTGACCTCGAAGCGGCCGGAGGGGGTGAGGAAGCGGAAGGACGGCGGGCGCAGGGGGTAGGTTGGGGGGAGGACGATGCGGCCGTGGTAGATGCCCCCGGCGTAGGGGGAGGGGGGTGGCGGGCCGGCGAGGGTGAAGTGCCAGTCGTAGAGGTTGGAGTCGGAGACGGGGTGAGCGGTGAAGTGCGGGGAGGGGTGGGAGGCGAGTTCGGAGGCTTCTTTTAGGAGGCGCCGGTGGGAAGGGGATGTCATTTTGGTTCTCGTTGCCAGCTGGCCTAATTATCTTGGTGGTTGATGGTGTTGTTGTTGTTGAGTTGAGTTGATGTGGGTTGGATGTACCTCTCTAGATCTGATAGAGTTATCAGATGGGGTGATGGCTGACTGATGTGGCAACTGGCGAGAACTATATACAGCGTCAAATGTTATGTGCGCATTGGAACGCGTCGATTGTCATGGTAATCAGTAGGTAGGACTGCTTGTACGTAGTGCAAAAGATGAGTGAATTGAGTGAATAAATACTGAGAAAAAAATGCCAGCTTGTCCTGTTCGAATGACGTTAGAGTTTCCACGCGGTGAGATAGTAGTGTATACCTCAGGCACCAATCAACTCTTAGCAGTAGGCTAGAGATAAGCCACTGATCTAATGCATTAAGACAAATCTAAATCAGAAATATCGTACAAAATACGCCGCATGAACTTCATCTCCTCATATCGAAGTATATACGACCTATCTGTGTATGAATGTCCGCTATGTCCAATACCCAACAAGTAACAAAGAACTAGCGAACCAAGGTCATTAATCCCAGTCCCGCCACTCGCTCGACTCCTCCCGTCGGCTAGTGGTCGCGCTGTTCGGTTTTTGTAATCGGTCTATAGCCCTGTTTGCAGGGACGGATCCCCGGTTCAAAAGATCAGTCTCACTGACATCATCCTCGAAATCACTATCGCCCGGGCGTGGTCGCGGGGACATGGGTGCCAAAGTCTGCATCGACACCCCCGTGGCGGGCCGTTCAGGGTTTCGGAAGCTGTCTAACGGCTGGCTCGGATTCCATGTTGGGGCTGCAGCGTCCGGCCCTAGCCAGGCTTGGCTGTTGTTCATGTTGCGCGAGTACAAGTCACGGTAGTAATGGTGCTGGTTCGCCATGTCCTGTTCTCGCTTTAGACGTAGTCCTTCTTGCGCTTCAAGGAATTTCCTGCTCGGTTCCCACCGCCAACCATCGCCGGTGGTCGTGCACACAGGGATGGGCCAGAGCAGGGGCCGGTTGCCGAACAAATGCGACAGATTCTTGCGCCACCCGAGATCAAACGCGTGCGGTAGCTTTCCGTTGTCCTGCTCGTTCAGGTAGTCCTCGTACCTGTCGTGCTCTCGCTGCCTTTCCAGTTCCGCATACGATCGTGTCAGCGCCTGTTGCGCCGGCGTGAGTTGATCATCAGACACGCCATGGCCAGTGGGCAGTGCTGGTGCCGGAGAGAGCCGCTCCTCCCCTTCTTCGGCTCGAGTAACTCCGGGAATCGCATTAGCATGCGCATCGAGAATCTGCTGCCCATAGTCCTGCAGCCGATGGCCAAAGCTGTCCGGAGCCGGGCTGTCCCCGTTGCCATCCCTCTGGTTCCCCAGTATGTGCTCATAGCGGTGACGATCCAGCGCTTTCCGCAGCGGCGACACATACCGCGTCTTCTCCAAACATTCGATCGTCGTCATGCCCCGGACGGCAAGACTGATATGCCATGCCGTGAACCCCGTCAGCACCAGTCCAATAATCCCGCCCAAAATAGCCAGCAGCACCACATTCACCGGCAGCATCGTCTCCAGATACGGAGCATCGTTGAACACCTCCGTCCAGATCCACGTCGCGGCCACCGCAAAATCCACCCAGCAGAACAGCGACGTATAAACCAAGAACAGCAGAAACGCCTTGTAATTGTACATTCCGACACAAGTCGCAAGCCACGGACAGTGATGGTCCATCTTCAGCACGCATCGCTTACACGTCGAGCAGTGGTGCGTCCGGTCCGGCTTCGGACACTGGCATTTCTTGCAATACCGCGTTCCCCCATTCGAGCTCACAGTGAACGCCGTAAACTCCGGCAACTCGGTGACCGGCAGCGCACTGTATTGATGCCGACCAGCCCCAGTCGTCATCGGCGATCCGGGATCCGTAAAGACCGCCACCGTGTACGATGCATTAAGGCATATGTAGAGAAGGATCCCCAGAATCGAACTCGGTAACCCTACCAGAAACAAAAGTCAGTTCCGATCCCATCCGCGACGAGGCAATGGCCAAGGTCATCGGAGATTTGCAACATACCGATCCACGGGCTTCGCGACGGCTTCAACCCAATACTCGCTTCGACGTAGACCGCCCACGTCGTCAAACTGTACACAAATGCCAGAGGAAAATATGTTGCCGCGGCGCAGCAATATCGTTCGCATCGGAGGGCCCAGGCCCGGGGGCGGCGTTTGGGCCAGGATGGAGACGTTGGCGGCGATGTCGCCAGGGTTGCCATTGTGAATGCCGGTGTATATCACCGTTGGAGATTTCGCAGCTAGAACGAGAGCATCGAGACGATCTATAAGCAGGCGAGCATTGCGAATGAGATATCCGGAAGGATAGTCGTGTTGGCGTCGCAAAGTAATGGATAATAGTAAGGAAGTCTTGGTATTCGAGGATCAAACAGATAGTGAAAACAAAACAAGAGCAAGATGAAGAAAATTAATCGAAGACAGCACGAAGCAGAGCACTGAAAACAAGGCGTTGATGATGAGCTGGAGCCTGGTGGATGATTGCGGAAGATCGCCGTCTTTGATGGAGTACGTGATGACGGGAGGATAGCGGTATCGTACGGTAATTACCAGCTGCACAGCCATCGATGCGTACGTAATTATACTCGTGGTTAGCACCAGCCACAGCCACCTTCTTTGACTGTTGGGGAAGTAGAAAGTTATTTTAGGAATCAGACCAGCTGAATTGTAACTCTATGATTGAGAGTAGACTGGCTTACCCACCCCACAAATCCACACCCACCCCACCCAATCCACTGTTTGGGTGGATAAGGGCTGGCCCTAATCCAACCCATGTGGATATGGGTTAAACCTGCTATATCCACGTGGATATGGGTTAAACCATTGGGTACATGTGATCTAGGGTCTCTTAAACTGATAAGCTTATCTAACTAGATCTAGGCCTAGATAGGGGAATATTTTTATATATATAGATAGAGAATAGTTATATCTATCTATATATAAAATAAATATTAGATCTACTAAGAAAGGCTAGGGTTATAGTAGTTTTTAGATTTTAGAGGATAGTATTAGGATAGTGAGGGTAAGATATATATATCTCCGCACCATCTTTCAACCTAAGCTTAGGGGGGACCCCTACTCCCCTATATAAGCCTATTTTAGCTTATATAATAGGTAATATATAATATTTATACTAATCTATTCTTATATTACTTATTAAATATATAGATATCCTAGTGGTGTGGCTAGAATACTAAAAAAATAGGGGGTAATCTGAATACTAGAGGTCACCTGACTAGATAGTATGGATATCTATGGATATCCACCACCCAACCCACGTGGATATAAGGGTGGGTAAGATACCTGGTGGTTTACCCATAATCCACATGGGTTGGATCAGACATGCTGTGGGTCAACCCATATCCACCCCACAGCCAGTCTAATTGAGAGTCTATTCCATAGACATATTCTTTTCCTTGGTATAGTAACATCAAAATCATCCCAAATAAGTGCCAAAAAACCGCCACTTGATATGAACAGACTCAGAATGCAGTCTGCTTGAACCACTTTATACAGTATGTCGTTGAGAAAGTTGATCTAAATTTCTCTATGACACAAAAATGAACCTAGTTTGTTGTGGTCGTATTGACAACTGTGATCTTACCCTGCTCGCACCAATTATTGATGGGCTGTAAAGTGTCAGTACCTATGTCACGCATCTTGGTCGATTAGGGCGACTCACCAAGCAGCTCAGTCTGTAGCACCATGAGCAATTCGAAGTGTGATATTTGTAAAAGTCCACAATAAGCAAGATGAAGCCAATGAGGACTGCAACCAATGCCCCGAGTCGTACCAACCACCAGACCCACCAAAGTGGTTTACGACCCTTGAAGAAAGCCAGAGCACTGGAATCTTTCGAGCTCTTAGAGCCCTTGTGAGCCTTGAAAAATTCGGCAATGCTTGAGCCAGGATTGGTGACCTTATTTCCTGGATCCGTGCTGGCACCCGCGGCACCTGTCATGGCCACGTATGGGTTACGGACAAGACCAATGCGTTCGCGAAGGGCGTTAGGAGATCTCATAATGCAGAGACCAGACGCGAGTCCCATGACGAAGCCTCCAATGTGTGAAAAATTGTCCAACCCCGGAAGCAACCCGAGCACGAAAGAAATGGCAATCCCAAAAACCATGATCACAAGCTCCGCCCATGCACTCGCCCGTTCACCCCAAGTGTAGAGGAGGTCCAAGATATAGAGAGCCAGGATGCCGAATAGACTGCCCGAGCAGCCGCAAGAACTCTCGCCTTGAGCAGCGTAGTTTCCGCCGAGCACGAAACCCCAGATACCGCTGGCCAAGTAGACAAAGGCGAACCGCCACCATCCGACCGTTCTCTCCATATCAGCGGCCATTGTCATTTGAACCAGCAAGTTGAAGCCGATGTGAATGATCCCGGTGTGAAGGAACATGGGAATGATGAACCGGAACCATTGATTTGGCCCAGGGTGATCGTCCAGGGAGCCGCCTGGGACCGGGTTCGGGACTCCATTGAAACCGCACAGCTCCGAGAGCGAGCATACATAATCCGCAGTCGACGTCGCGTTCGGACACGGGAACAGGAACTCCACGGGCGAATTCTGAATCTTGTCCACGTTCTTCATACATGGCGTGTACCGCGCTCCCATGTTGATCTGAAGGTACGGCGAAGGGCCGATCATCGGGTTGAACTGGGGGTGGAGTTCGATCGGGCTCCCTGTAAGTTGAGCTGCAAAAAGTCAGTACGTGGGCATCCAGCGGGAAAAAGCGAAAATGGGGGAAAGCACATACCATTCTTCACCAGCTCGACGATGAAAACGATGACCTGGGCTATGGTAAATGTATATGTCACCCAAGCAATCTTCTTCTTGAATATCCCCTTCTTCTGTCTCCTCGTCGGGGCAATCGGGGGCCCTGCGGGCTCCATTGCTGAGGGTTCTGGCGCATATTGAGTTGGCTGCTGCATCCAGTTTGGC